AATAATTATTGATTAATAATTATAGTAAAACAGTAAAGCAATTTTTTTGGGTAGATAATATATAATTATTATAGAGTAGATAATAATTTGAAAATGTATTTAATTAGTACTATATATATAATAATTATTATTATATTAATTAAGAGATTGAATTTGATTAAGTTCTCAGTTATAAAAAATTATAAAGAGTATAATAATTAATATTTTTTGACAACATATAATAAATAATACTAATTATTATACTCAGCCATTACATTAATATAGTGGTTAAATATAATAATTAATATTAGTTATAAATAACAATAATACTTTTTTTTCAAAACATAAAAATATAATCACATATCTCAATTAGATTTGAGTATTATCTATTTGAAAATAACAAAATTAAAGAGTTACATATTTTTATCAATATTTTAATTTGATTAAATATTGATACAAATTTACTTATAAATTAATTTTAAAGAGAATATTTTGGGCCTAACTCATTGATAAGTCTCGATAGACTTAATGATTTATTATCAACTACCATTCAATATCATTATTATTATTATTATTATTATTATTATTATTTTTTTTTTTTTTTTTACATAATAGGACTAGACCCAAAATGAAGAGGATAAAGAACCTTTTGAAAATGTATCACACATTAGAAAAAATAAATAAAGAATGACAAGGACAATATCATAAATTTTAAAGTGAAAATATCGATATTTAGTCTATGTTTTGTAAGCAAGTCTACAACTCGATCCTCCTCTCACAAAACATGTATTCAGAGCAAGTTTCCTTCAGCTTTATAAAACAACATCATTAATTGATATGATGCAATTGCACCAATTATAAATTTTTTTTAACCACATTTTTTAAGGTAATTGGTTTTATAAAAAAATAATCTCATAATATGTCAACTCAAACACTATAAAACTTATACAAAAAAAATGATAATAATTATTTTTTATTTAAATAAATTTGAATATGCATATAAAGTTATATATTTCCAATAAAAATATTTTATTTTAAAAAATATAGATTTCATTTGAATAAATCAGATTAACTACAAATTTTAAGTTTGAAGTAAAATATAAAATATTTGTACTCTTTTAAAGTGACAAACGTGATTTAAAAAAGCATAGAAATATATTTATTAATTAAAATAATCATATTTATTCATCAATCGACATTAATTATAAGTCAATTATTTGTAAGGGTAAAAAAATATTAACAAATTAATATCATATTTTTAAAACACTTAAAGAGTATAGTTATTTATAAGAGTCAATTATATTTATTTGGTTATTAAATTTAGTTATCATAAATTTAGTTTATACGGAGAGAATTAACTTTTGAAAATTATGTTATATATTTTGCTTTAGTAATCTAACAAAAATATCTAAGATGTAATTATATTTTGTCTATGTTGTATAATTATAATATAATTAAAATATTTTTATATATTATATGTATTTTAATTAATTTTTACATAATGTAGTAATAATAATTATCAAATGATATTCTTTTTTCTATACAAATACACACTAATCTCTTTGTCATGACATGTATATATATATAAATAGAATGAAGTATAACATTTTAACATATAATTATCAACCATTTTAAACAAGTTAAAATAATCTCGATCGAGTATTCAACCAGTTAGTAATAAAATGTAGTTAAATAATGTCGATGGGTAAAATATGAACAGTGAATAGTAAGATTTTGACAAGTGAATCATATATGATCGATGGATATCATCTTACAAACTTATCTGCTGCCACCTTATTATGAACATGTTTTAATTTGTATTTAATATTAAAATTCCCTTCTTATCTCAAGTAGTTGGTGGGAACTGGGAAGGTGCACTGCTTTAGATACATTTATTTCTTAACAATCTACAATTTGTAAGCTTGACAGAATCACTTCAGTGCCATATCATATCCATTTTGATCATCATGACATCGTGGTATTGACTGTTGCCAAGCCTTGATATTTTTAACAACTTTTTTCACTAATCACTAGGAATAAAGTAATCGAGATTTCTTGCAAGAGTGATGTACTTAAAGTAGAACAAGTTCAAATTTCAATGCGTGACGTGCGATTAAGGATATATCATTTGCATTATGGTTTTTTTATTCAGCAGCAAAATTAGCCTATCTTTTTTCTACAATATTTTTTTACTCAAATTCAAATATTGGTGTAATTGTTGTAAATGGGGCAAATTATTCATTTCCTTTCGTACTTAAGAGAAGAAGCAAACTCGTTTGAGTGGTGCCACGTGCCTTTGAAAACTACTTATAAATCTCCTCTCCCACGTGTCTGAGGAAAACGGTAACCCTAACATAATTGTTTCCTACTTTTAACTGTGTTCGTCTCAATTCTCAAACATTTGTTTATTCCTAGTCTTTGGCTTTTGTTGGATGCAAAGGGTAATTAAATTAATTAATTAATTAATTATTTAAGGATCAAGTCAAATAATTTTCTTTATTAACCACAGTAGGATCCCAACCGTCGGTTCTTTTGTCTTTTACTAAATGTTTCACTTTCGTCCATTCCCATAAGAGAAAGAGAAAGCGGAATAAACAAAAGTTACGAAACTGCTATGTGCTAAATGCTTATACATGACAACAACTCTCTTTCGGTAATCACAAAGCACGTTTGGCTTCACATGTTCTGACTTCTGATTCATTATTCTCTACTCTCACTCTCAGATCCTTCAACCATGTTCGTGAAGAAGCTCGTCGAGAAAGCATCCATAAAGAAGGTAACTCTAGCTATTTCTATGCCTCGTCACTTTTTTCATTATTGTTTCATATGAGACCTTAGTTTTTCTACTTATCTTAAGGATTAGTTTCTCATTTAAAATCTCCGAACAATTGTTTGATCAATCGAACTAAATTACATGAGAAATTAACCGAGTTTTGTCCAATTGTATGAATTTAAGACTTCAAATATGAGGAACCAAACACGGTTTTAGATGCATTTGAGTTTACATTTCGTGAATGATTCAAATAAACAATCGGTATATTTTACTTTAAGAATTGATTAAAATTGTAGACGTCAAAGTGCACCCTCTCTCTCTCTTTGACTTTTGTGATCAAATTGCTATCTGTTTTTGTGTTCAAGAGGGAAAGAATAAAACAGAAATGGATACCGTATGAGCATTTCATACATGTATGGTTACTGGTTAGGTTATCTTTATGTTTTATTTTTGTCTTGTTGATATTTTCTTCTTAATTCTGAAAGCTCTTCCATGAGTGGTTTTTGGTAAGAAATTAACCGTATTTTTTTAATAGCGCATTATTCTTATTAATTCATCCAATCTTTTCATTAATACAATGAAAATATAGATAGTTTAAGATATTGTCCTATTTTGTATTTACCACCCCAAGACAAAATGTTGCTTGAAATGGAATATTCCTTCTTTTTTTTTTAGATACATCAATTTCTTTTCGTGGATAAGCAGTTAAGTGTATGTAAAAATGTGATTCGGATACACTCGATATTTCTGAAATCAGGGGCCCTTTAAAGTTGTGTTTGAATTTACTAATGTATATACGTGAATTTTGAATATACAACCAAACATAAATAAAAAAAAAAAAAAAAAACTCACACACACACACAATCATATGAAAGAAAATCATGAAATAATGTCTCCATTGCTATTTGGTTTTAAGGTAAAAGCAAAGCAGTATATCACTTTAGCAGAGACCAAACAGTTAAAGGGATAAAAATTTCAATAAATAATCACAAGGTCGTTCTAAATAATAATTGGCTTTATAATACAATACAATGTTAGAGGCCGTTATGTTTATTTAGTTTAGTTTAGGCCGGTGAGAGGGTGCAGGGAACCTCAGAACTCAAAACTCAGAAGTCAGAAGTCAGAGAACAATAGTTCGTGGAAGTGTGATACTGCGAATCTGCAGACTGGAATGCAACTTTTGCGTGAACTAATTTAATGCCTGCTCTTTTTTTTTTTTTTTTTTTTTTTTTTTTTTTTTTTTTAATGAAATAATTTTTCATTTTGAATTTAGTTCTTTCATATTACTTGTATTTGGGTTACACCGCTCTTTGGTAAAACGAATAAAAAAGAGGAAACGACGAATTTGGCATCTGAAATTAAGGAAAAAAATCAAATAAGTTGTTGAATATATATATATATTTATTTATTTCATTGAAGTCTCGAAAGTTAATCGTTTTTCATTTTGGTATCTAAATATATTATTATTATTATTAGTAAAACTAAGGTATTCTGTGCTGTCATAAATGAATGAAAAGAATAAAAAAAAAAAAATTAAAAAAAATGCAATTAATTTCAAAATAGTGAGATAGTTATATAAATTAGTTAAAGGATACCAATACATTTCATTAAATTAGTTAAGGGATAAAAGAGTAAAAAAAAAAGTGAATACCAAAATAAGATATCTCCTTTATTTATGTTATTGATTATAGATATAGGCTATTATTATTATTAGGATGCAAGTGATATAAAATAAAAATAAAGGTTACAAAATGCAAATGCGGGAATACCTCTTCAAATAATCACTTTCATCTTTATTTTTTTTTTATAACTTTTTTGTCCATTCAATTATGTAATAACTTCTTATAAATAAAGAATAAAATAAATATTATAATATATATGCAACTGTATATGTAATTATTAGATGTACAAAGTATTTTGCCCTCTCTAATATATAATTAGAAAATATAAAAATAATATTAAATAAAATTAGAGACAAAATATACTTACAAAACAAGAGGATATTTATTATTGATAGAATAGATAATTAATTATTTTATACATATTTTTTTCTTCTATTTCACCCTTAAAAGATATGATGGTGGAAAAAATATATAATAAAAGATATAAATGTCTAAATAATATAAAAACCAAAGGGAGTTGTCCCCTGATTTATATATAGTAGAGATATAGTATAGATTATTATTATTTTAGTCCTTAGATGAAAAAGAGAGAGTTAATTTAAGGACTTAAAAAGTTTACAAATTTATTTGAGTTTTTCGTAGTTTCAGAAATTAATAGCACAGAGATGTATAATTTGAGTTTTCTGTAATCTGAATTTCGAAAACTTGGAACATATCCGAGAGACCATGACAGACACTATTTGCTTTTTCCTTGCGCGTTCAGTAACAATCTCTAGACTTCCCCCAGCACGCTCACATAAATTCAGTTCACCATTTTTCGTGATTAATTTTAATTTCACATTTATATGTAAGCTCAAAATAGCATAAATGTTACGATTTTGTGATATAGTAAATTAGACAAGTAAATTTGTAGCAATAAAGAGATGCAGTCAAAGTAACAAGATTTAGTTTTCTTCGATAAATATTCATCTGAATTGCTCATTCTTTATTTTCCACCTATAAGGTGGGCTTAAGAATGACATGCAATAATGGATAAATGGTTATTTTATTTTATTTATTTATTTTTTTCCTTTTTCCCCTCCTCATGTATCAAAATGAGCTGGTGACGTTACTTTATTATAATCTGGAAAACTTGCATCACTCACATTGAGCTTAGAACTAGAAAAATCGGTGAACTTCATCTAGGAGTATGACATATGCAGCTAGAAAACTAAAAATCTCAGTTATAAATTTGCGTTGCAGACTGCATCAGATGGGTTAAAAGGTAGTGATGTAGATCCATGTTTGGTATTTCATCAAGGGGTACCATCTGGTGGTACCAAGTTTGCCTATGACAATATTCAGAAGATACTGGCTCTTTCTACCAAGTATGTTCATCCTTTGTCAATTTTGTGATGTACACTGTCTTTTCTGATGTCTAATTGACAGTAAAAAAATAAATAAAATATATATATATATATATATGATGCAACTCAAGCATAATTTGAATTTATGCTTGAAATAGAAATTGAATTTGTTGATATTTTTTTAAGGGATGGACGGATTAAACTATTTGGCAAAGATAATGCTCAAGTGCTGCTTGAATCTAAAGAGCCAGTGCCTAGCAAGTTTTTACAGGTTATACATATTTTGTCTTTTTCCTGACCAAATTTGTCTTGTTAATAAAAATGGCTATTGATTTCCTTGATGTCGTGAAAGATGTTATTTTTCCGTGAAATTAACAATACTAACGTAGTTAATATATGTATGCACTCTGCAGTTCATTCAGAATGAAGGGATTCTCATAAATGTCACGTTCAATAACCATATTGAGGTAAGTGTATCTAACTATCTATGGACTTTCTTATAATTCTATATTTCAAGTTGCCTTTGCATTTCGTTACTAGGTAGTGTTCCACTATTAAGATTTACCATGTCAATATTTTATTCAAATCATGTTCAAGCACGTTATTCAGGAAAAAAAGAGTACTAATAACACATTCTTCGACGAATTTCTTGTAACACACTCTCTCCTAGATTTATATTTATTAAAATTTATGTTGATCCACAAATTATGATTTCTAATAAATCAATCAATAAGAGGGACTGTATTTAAAAGAGCATATTAGAGAGTGTATTTTTAGCATTTATCTTCAGAAAATTCGCTGTCCTAAAGATATTTCTCACTTAGGTTTGGGACATAGACAAGAAACTGTTGTCTGACGTGTACATTGTTAAAGAAGAAATCACCTGTTTTTCAGTCATTCAGCATAGCTTCTTTATGTAAGTTTTTCAGTCTACTTTGAAATAAGCTATCAATAAATTAAATTTTGATGAAGCACAAAAAGTTATGAGCATGTATGTGCATTGACAGGTATGTTGGACTTTCTAATGGCAATATTTCAGTTTTGTTGATTGATCCAAAACCATGGCATGTGTTACGGATGAAGTACACCATACCCCTTTCAGCTTCTTGTGGTGAGATTTTCTATACCATCAGTTCAACTGGAATAATAATTAAATAACAAGTACCTTCTAAGTATAGCTTCTTGTCATTTAAGTTTCTTATTAATTTCTTTAGGAAATTTAACTGAAGAATCTGATGATACTGTTGTGACACACATACTGCCTCAACCAGCAGCCGAGAGTCAAAGGTGATATGCACAAAACCAGCCTTCATTTAGGACATTCCTATATAATTAATTTGGTGCTTACTTTTGCTTTTACTTGATCAATTTTTTTTATGTGAAATTTTTCTAACTTCTGTTCTCTTATGTGTTCACTGCAGAGTTCTCATAATCTTTAGAAATGGTCAAATAATATTGTGGAATATTCGAGAAAGCAGATCCATTTTTAGAACTGGTGGAAGAATGTCACAAACACGTTATAATGAAACAAAGAAAGTATCCACTGCATGTTGGGTGTGTCCTTTTGGAAGTAAGGTGGTTGTAGGTTACAACAATGGAGAGCTTTTCATTTGGAGCATCCCTTCTCTAAACACCGGAAATAGTTTAGCAACTGATTATAGTAGTCAAAACACTCCTATGTTCAAATTTAACTTGGGGTATAAATCAGACAAAACTTCCATAGGATCAGTAAAATGGATTTATGCCGAAGGAAAGGCTAGCCGGCTATATGTCATGGGAGCTTCTGACTATTCCCCTTCAAACTCTTTGCAGGTATTTGAATACTTTGCTTACATCATTAAAAGATACATGTTAACTTGTTCTTGGTTGAACTTTCTGTATCTATATTTTTCTTTAGGTTCAATCGATCATTTGGTCCTTAAATTTGCGCTGTGCTAGCTTTTCATTTTAGTCCTATGAACAATTTTATGTTTTAGTTCCTATTGTTAGTTTTTTGGATGTGTAAAACTACCTTAGTGATTAAAACATAAAAAAATATCTCGTTCAGATACTAAAACAAAAGGCTGGCACATAAATATAGACCAAATGATTAATTAGACTTTTTCTTTATAATGAGCTAACGATGAATGATAGTTTTTCTTTTTCTGGGAAAGAAAGCCTGAATTGAGTTCACTTATTACAACTTATATGAATTTGAGATTTTTGAATGGTTTGCTTTGTATTGAATTGGTTCAATGAAATTGAGCTAGGCTTAATTTGGTCATTTAAATAACTACTACCAATCTGCATTATGTGAAGCAGGTAGTGTTGTTGAATGAACATACAGAATCTCGCACAATTAAGATGGGACTTAATTTGTCTGAATGCTGTATTGACATGGAGATCATATCAACCTCAAGCAAACATAGACAAAATTATTTCATATTGCTAGGGAAATCAGGCCATGTATATCTCTATGATGACAATTTGATTGAAAGATATTTACTGCAAAGCCAGTCGAACTCTAAGTCCACTACTTCACTGCCAAAGGAAGTGGTTGTGAAATTACCACTGGCAGATTCAAGCATCACGACAGCAAAATTCATCTCCAACAATCTCAATATGTTTAGTTCTGAAGATGAGGTAATGGGGTGGTGAAACTGTTCAACTGTACCATATTTTTATTATTTTGACAATTTAATGCTTCTTTATGATTCTATTGATTTTAATTTATTTTATTTTATTTTTGGTCAGTGTTACAGTCAGCTGCTCAAGAATTATCCACCGCTTATTCCCATTGAAACAAATCTGAAAGATGGGATTAACTTCAGTTCTGTAAATTTCACTGGATTTTCAAACGTTAAAAATTTGTACATAACTGGACACAGCAACGGAGCTGTAACATTTTGGGATGCGTCATGTTCCCTTTTCACCCCAATTTTGCAATTAAAGCAACAGGTAGTAATTTTATTCAAAACTAGTTTGTGTCCAAATGTTGGCTTTATAACTTTGAGTGGTAAGACAATATTGGTTTCTGTCCAAATATTCACAACATTATATTCCAATTTGTTGTTGGAAAAAAATCGCCCACAAAATGAGAATTTTGTTTTCCCTTTATTTAATATAATATATAATATAAGATAGCATGAAAATCAGTAAGAGTATATGTTTCACAGTTTCGGTTTCAGAAAGGAGGCTGCTTTCATGTGTGTAAGCCAGCTTATATGCCTAGTTAATAAAATAAAATAAAATAATCTTGATTGTACTAGCTAATCAAAGATGATTTGTTGAAGTCCTATTGAAATTAGTCATAAATTGATAACAATATTTAGAAATATGTTTATAAAGTACCTACAACAAAATAGGCTTCGACTTTTGAAGACTCCAGTATGTTGTATTATTTAGTCATTGTTTTTTAGGTCCTCTCTAGTAGTATTAATGCCAGTTATTTTCTTTCCTAATGTATTTAACAACTATAGGAATCATTTACTTTCTCTTTCACGCGTAATTATTCCTTTATTTGTTTTCTTCATCCTAATGCAGAGTGAAAATGATTTTTCTTTAAGTGGCATACCCTTGACAGAATTATATTTTGATAGCAACTCTCCACTCCTTGTTTCTGGTGACCAAAGTGGGATGGTGAGTTTCATTCAGTTATGAATTTCGTGAACTGTGATATTTTCCTTTTCTTCTGTTCTAATCACTCATGCTTATTTTATAGTACGTATGATATAAACATGTTCTGCAGGTTCGTATCTATAGATTCAAACCTGAACCATATGCCTCCAACAGCTTCATGTCTCTTACTGGTATTGTGTAGCATGTTACTTAGTTTTCCACTAGTTCCTTACTCCTTAGTTACTCAACAAGCAACAGAATTTTCTTTTTAGTAGATAGTGACTTGCATTTGCATTCCCTTTTACAGGAGGTACAAAGAAAGGGACTGATGCAATCCACAGTATGAAACTTGTGAAGACTAGTGGTGCTGTAATTTGTATGCACTTAGATCACAGTTCAAGGCATCTTGCTGTTGGTTCTGACCAAGGAAATGTGAGATACTTTTCTAGCTTTTTCTTTCTTTTCTTTTTACATTTGGAAATGCATTGTTAGAATACTGTTCCATAGAAACAAGTTTAATATGCGAGGCAAAATATTAATTATCTGGGACACAGATTAATATGAGACTAAATTATCTTATAAGTTATAACTTTTAAGATCCATTGGAGTTGCCAAGAATTCATTGAGAACATCAGCAGTAAAACAAAAAGTGAGCACATTGTGTCACTGCTTTAAGCAACTCGATAGTGGATTTATGTAGTATTTGGGAAGCCCGGGATTTCCATTCTATCCCTGATGCTGATCATATCTTTGGTCCAGCTTATCATATTGCTGCTTCTGCTTGATGAATGATTATCAGATAGTATGTGAAACTTAACTAGCTATGTTAGGCTCTTTAGATTTGAGTGTATAGATTTTTAATATATTCACAGTGCTAATTTGTGTGATGATGTACCATTTTGTTACAGGTTTCAGTTATTGACTTAGATGGTCCATCTTTGTTATATCGAAAACATATTGCAAGTGAAATTGCCAGCGGTATCATCTCTCTGCAGTTCAAAACCTGCAGTTTGCATGGTTTTGAGAAAAATATTTTAGCAGTTGGAACAAAGGACTCATCTGTTCTAGCAATAGATGGTGAAACTGGAAACGCATTGAGCATCGGAACTGTTCATCCAAAGAAGCCCTCTAAAGCATTATTTATGCAGGTGTTGGGTAAGAGTTTGCACAGTCAAAACAATGATCAGTTATAAAAACAGATTGATTTATGATATCAATGATCTAAACGCTTACTATGTTTAAGATTCAAGTTCAAATACTATTTTTTATAGCAATGAAGAATCTGATGGAAAAGAATAAGACCTTCTATCATGTTATACAGATGGACAGGGAGAATCAATCACAGGATCAGTTACAAAAGATGGCCTAGACTTGAGAGAAGGGAATCGTATTGAAGATGCAACAGCAAAGCAATTTTACATTTTGCTGTGTTCTGAGAAGGCTTTGTATGTCTATTCTTTTGTGCATGCTTTACAGGTATTGTGTTCTTAAATCTTTACTTCTGTCCTTACTCATGAGTAATGACTAGAATATTAGCTGATGCTTGCAGTTACTCATTCTCATATGTTTCAGGGAGTAAAAAAGGTGCTTTACAAAAAGAAGTTTCATTCCTCTTCTTGTTGCTGGGCATCAACAATTTACGGTTCCTCTAATATTAGTCTCATACTCCTTTTTACCAGTGGAAAAGTAGAATTAAGGTGCTTATCTATTTATTTATTTTTTTCTGAAGTCTGCACATACTTTTTAGAAGTGAAGGGCCAACAATTTGGTGTTAAAATTCAATCCCCATGTTGAGCATTCTTTTTTTAAATTAAATGATTTAACAAGACGTGTTACAATTTTAGGTCTTTGCCAGAGTTATCTCTGATCGTCGAGACTTCAATTAGAGGTTTCACGTACTCACCTCCAAAATTGAAGCCATTTTCTGATAGCCAGATATGTTGTTCATCCAAAGGGGAACTTGTTTTGGTATGATTGTAGCTTTCACTAGTGCAACACATTTTTAAATATATTTATGACATTAAATTAAGTCAACGTCAGTGTACAGGTGAATGGTGATCAGGAAATTTTTGTTCTCTCGTTGTTGGCCCAGAGGAATATATTCAGGTACATAAGCCTAGAGAATGGCATTTGGAATCTTGTTATCAATCTTCACCACATAAAAAACTTCTGCCTGGCTATAGGAAAATGTTTACTACAGGGAAAGATATTTGCAGCCTTTTATCTTCTTTACTATTTTTGTTTAGAGGTAGAAGAATACTAGTCTCATTGCACATTATGCTTGACTTTGTTTTAGGCTTTTGGACTCTGCTAGCTGCATCTACAGGAAGGAAAGGATACCATCACAAGAAGAGCTTATTCCTGGCCCTGTCATCCATAAGGAAAAGAAAAAGGTAAACAGTAACATTTTAATAACTTCTACAACTATAGCCACCTTCCTTGTGACTGAAGGTATTTGGTACTGTTTTCCGGCATCCAAGGGTATATTCAGCTCCGTTATCAAAGATTTTACTGGCAGTAAAGAAAAGCACGTGCCCCTCATGGAAAAAGAAGATCCCAAAGAAAGTATACGGGAACTGTCAGCAATATTCTCAAATGCAAACTTTGCATGTAATGAAAATGATGATAAGCCAACGATGAATGACAATCAGCTTGAGTTAAACATAGGTATAACAATGCCTCAGATGTGGTTTTGAACATTTGCTTTAAATTTTTGGCCAACAAAGATGAAACTTGCCTTTTGTGTCAATCAATCCATGCTGTCTTTTTTATTGGCGATCTGACTCTGCTAGTCGAAAGCATGCATGTTATAATTTATAAACAGGACTAAATTACAGCCATAGATTAATTTGCTTTCTAAGGCATTTCCTGTAGTGTACTTATTGGCTTCCTTGAGTTTGTGGTAACCAATTTGAGGTGTTCTCTTTTCCTCCCATATAGATGACATTGACCTAGAGGACCACGGAGAAAAACGAAAAGAACAAAGCATATTAGGAGCTCTTAATAAGAAGAATTTGGCTGGCAAATTTCAGTCTCTGAAAGGTTTGTGACAACAAGTTAAACTTTATGCAAACTGATTTTCCTTATGTTTTTCATCATGTGACCTAAGAAATAAGCACTTGAACTACTGTGGATGGAAGAAAAACATGTGACCTAAGAAATAAGCACTTAAACTACTTTTCTACTAATTTGTATTCCCAGTTTTGTAAACAACTCTGGCAATTAAAATTGCACTCGGTACAATTTAGTAAACTACATTGTGTGACCGAAGAAAAGCATTAATTGGTGCATTCTAAGAATTTTCAATCTCCTACCAGTCTTCTTTTGGATTGAAGGTAATTACAGGTTTTTCCTAATCGCTAGCTAATCTAATTGAGCATTCCAATATACAGGAAGATTGAAAGAGATGAAGGGAAACAACCAAAAAACCTCAGATAAGGAAGTGCAACAGGACGAAAAAGATGGTTCGCTTGATCAAATTAAGAAGAAATACGGATTTTCTTCTTCCGCCAATGTAAGAATATATCTGTCATATGCATTCTCATCAGCTTGACTTTTCTACCACAACAATACACTAGCATGGCGTTATATGTGCTTATTTACAAGTGAAACATGTTGCCTAGGCCCTATAGCTAATTTTCATTTTGTAGGCATCAAGTGTATCTGTTAAAGCAAACACAGATTGAGGATCAGGATTGACCATTACCAAGAATCTTTAACCTACGATTTATTACCTACCAATTAGAGATTTTAATCAGTTGTACTTTCTTTAAATGTTCTTTTTCATTTTTTTTGCGAAAAAGGTAGCACTTTATTTAATTCTTTTCTTTTACTTGTATATTCTAGCATGCTAAACATTGTACGAAGTTTAATTTTGAATTAGATAGTGCAAAATTTTAAGATACATTTCAGACAATTCTTCTATGACATCTTTGTTTGAAGCTTGAGACTATATATGGTTATTATGAACATCGTTTCATCCTACACGCTTTATGATTTTATCAATGAATTTTCAATCCTCAAAGTTATGTGACCATCAAAATTTTAGGACCTAACAAAAGACATTCTTAGTTTCAACAAAATAGATACCACGAAACTAGTAATTTCCATCGTTGTATAATTAGACAGTTTCCATATATTTAAAGCTTCGTTTTCTTTTTGCTCAAATATGAGTGCAAACATTAATCAATCATGAATCTGGTGCTACAGGACTCAACCGTTGCTAAACAGGCACAAATCAGGCTGCATGAAAACACAAGGAAATTGGAGGTATCTTTTACCTAGACAACAAAACGAAAAAACAGTTTGAATTTCGTTATCCTATCCTATGCCGACGTACACAAGAAAATTTGGAAGGAAAAAAAATCCAGAACTTATTTGTTTACATATCTCCTATCTTGGCAGGGTATCAACCTTCGTGCCACAGAGATGCAAGTTAAAGCAAAATCATTTTCATCATTGGCAAAACAAGTGCTGCGAACTGCTGAGCAGGATAGACGAAGTTGATCAGACCTCTTAGTTAATGGTTTATACTTAGGCCATACATTATTTTATTTTTTAATTGCACATATATATATTTTTTAATATTTTTTTATAAGTCAGTTTTGTTCACAATTATGTTGAATTCTTGCTTCTTTTTACAGTGACAGTGGCACCGATATGCTGTCTGAAAACTTTTGTTTTGGATCGATAGTGTTCGAATGTGATCATGTATTATATGGATTAAGATTTTCAGTTTCTACCCTCTTTTCCTGCGGAAGTTATTGTCCATAATATAGACACACACACAAGTCATTACAAAAGGACTATCATGCAGATAAGTCGTGCATATTTCTAGCAAAGCTCAAACCACTGAATCTGTTCTGCATTCCATGGTTATTCACGGTTCAACTAACTCACCAACTTATTTATGGCTCAATTTCTTCTTCTCACTAAATAGTATTAGCCCATCATAACTCATTTAAAACTTGAAATCTACACGGTATGAGTTCAGACCACAAACTTGCAATGACTAGTGTTTTATCAGCAGATCTTCCAATAGCGAGCGTATCTGTTCTCTAACAGCATCTCTGTTACTAACGCTTAATGTAAAACAAGTTGCTCCTGCATGATTCCGCAACCTTGCAACTGCAGAAATCGATAACATTAGTCCTTCACAAGTTCAGCAAAGCAATTAGCTAGAGCGTTGCTCCAAAATCCTCAAAACATCTCTTCAACAGATCTTTGAGCTTCGTGCCTATAAGGTCTAGTGACAGATTTCATCCTATCTTGTTTACTTGAAGATTTGAGAAAAGGAAATTTGTACCTAGGATTTTTCAGAAAGAAACAAGATGCCGTTTGAGAAAAGGAGAAAACTATGGACAAAAAATTACCTTCAGGTATGTCCCTGCCAAATTTCGGAACTGGAATGGAAGCCAAAACTGGGATATTTGACTCCAAAACTCTCAGAACTGCAGGGAAGAATGATGAACTGAATAACTCCATCTTACCAACTTCGTCAATGATGAACAGATCAGTGTCTTCTCTAACCTATTCATTGAATGCGTATTTTAAAAGCTCAATGGCTGATCTAATACATGGGAAACAACAAATAATACTTTCAACATCCTCAATAACAAATATGGAGTAATCCAATCTGCTACTTAAGTTAAGAAAAAAGCATAAGTAAAAGACATTAAAGAAAGAAAGCAGACCTGTAACTCGGGCAGTGCTAGTGACTCAAAGGATGCTACATCAGCTTTATACTTGCCAACACTAGGCCATCTGAGAGTCTCAACGCTGCCAAAACCAATGCCATCAAATGACACCATCTAATCCACCAAATAGGTAGAGTTGTAACAACACTGCCAAGTTATGTCAAGTAGGATTTTTTTAAGTGTGTTATTAGTGTGAAGTATGGAAGATAACTAATCCTTATTGAGAAATTTGGCTAACTACTTTTAGTGGGGTCTTTCCTCCTAACGCCCTTCACTAAAAGTGTCTGGTTTTCAGCAAACATTAATCATCGCAAAGTCTCTGAATATTTCACATCCACAACAGAGTTACGAAAAAAATAGTTTTTTTTAACCTCAAACAGGTAGGATTTACTAATTCATGAAAGCCTTCCTTGAAAAATGAATAATACCTCAAGCAGCATACCAGGAAATACAAAAAAAAAAAAAAAAATCACATAATCCTATCTAACTAATAGTGGTAAACAGAAAATTGGGATGTTTATGGTGTGGAGCTAAAAAGTTGTACGTTGAAATGTTGGAGGCAAGTGGGGCAGTGCGACCATCGAGAGTGACCACTTCAAAACCAACCCTCTGGCCATCGCGCCTAACTTCCCCTACGTAATCAACAACCATTTTGGTAATGAATATGTGAGATGGTGGATGAAAGAAGAAGAAGAAAAGAAAGTGAGGCTTACGAGTGTAGAAACCCTGAAGCTTGAGGGAAGGATTGACCTTGAGGGACTCGAACACTCTCATGATGAGAGTGGTTTTTCCCACACCCTGATGAGATCATTGAAATCAAAAACAAATAAGAACAAAATGAAGAGGGAGAGGTTGGGTTTACTCACCGGAGTACCAGTGACGAGGAAGCATTTGCCGGGACCAGCCATCGTGTCTGTTTCTGCGTGTTCTAATTTCATGTGACAAGTTTAACATATATGATTATTATTTATATATATAAAAAAATTAACGCAATATTAAAAAAGTTATTTATTTGTATTAATTTTTTTTTTATTTTTATAGTATTTTTTTAAAATAATTCTTATTATAAATGTCAGAAAAAAGTAAAGTAATGTATTAAAGGAGTAATATTTTAGAAAAAATGTTATTAAATGAGATAAAGAAATAGTTAAATTTGTTTATATTTAAAAATAAAAAAAATTATATATATATTTTTCATAATAGAAAGGAAAGAGATTTTGTCAGGAATAAGATTTTATATTATTATTATAATTAAATTATTTTTTAAGTTGGTATTTTTCAATGTTAATTTTTCTAGTATCTATCAAAATAAATGATTAATTGTAATTGTTTTATCATTTTTTATGTATATATTTTGCATTGATATATCAAAATTGAGAATTTATTATTATTACTATCAATATTATCACAAATTTTACTATTATCATCATTATATTGACAATGACATCAAAATGATATTAATAATTATAATTATAATATTAATAAATTTATCCGTGGGTAATTACCCACGAATTAAATACAAATTAAATTAGATAATTATCGACGGATAAATCCGTGGGTAATACCCACAGATAAATCCGTGGGTAATTATTTTTTATTATATAAAGATAATACCATCTTTGCATTATTATGAAAAATAGAAACAAATTATTAGTATTAGTGTCAAATAATTGAATGAGATTTAATCTTTTACTCAATTTTAACTTTAAAATTATATACTAAACATCGTGCATATTGTGCTTTAAAAAATATACTAACTTCAAAAAATAATTTTAATAAACGAGTTGAGAAGTTATTATTTTCAAAATTGAGAAACAATGAAAATTTTCATAAAAAAGACATAACATTGTATATAATTCATAAATGAATGATAAACACATATATGATAGACATATATGAATTAATTTTTATTTTTTCTCTTTCTCTCACTTTAACTAATGATGTTATTCTTAGGGAGATGAGTAATTTTTAAAAACTAGAGAAAAAGTGTGTCATTTAAACAGACCTCATGGGAGGTGAGAGTGATTTTTTCTTAAATATACATGCATGCATGGTATCTCAAAGTACTAGAATATTGTACAAGATTTATCAACATTTCCCTCACCTACTAAAACTCTTCCACTGATACCCATAGATGACTAATTAACATTTTTTTTATCCACCATAATTACAATGATGGTACTAATTAACCTGATACAACTAATAGGAAACCAACCATGATTTCATCTTCTCAACTTTCTAATATAAACATGCCCCAACATACTCTTATTTTGACTAGCTCAAAAGACCATAGTTCTCATATTGTACCTTAGACCCATATTTTTGTCTCATTTAATTTTTATATGAAGCTAGGATAGATTATAAACTAACTAGGTGCTTCTCATGAAGAGAGGTGACTTTGTCCATATAAGTGCATTCGTTATTGATTAAATTTGGCTAGAATATAATCTATTGAACTTCTTTCACTGAGATCCCGCCTGCGCCTATAGTTGACATTGTTCCCATAGGCTGAGTGAAAATCTACATATAGCAATTAGTTTAAGAAGAACCTTTATTGATTTTAGTTGCAAGGTAAGTAGCTTGCATCATGCAACTGAACAAATGATAAAATAGTGATTTTTAAATATTGAATTTCAATTCCTGAAGTTAAAATTTCGTGGTTAGCATTTTGGGTGCTAGTAGTATTGCTCAATAGAGAATTATTTGTATTGTATCTTTTTCTTTTACATGATATTTTAATATGTTTTGTATTGAAGTCCTGACTGTTACCCTGCCTTATTGCAGCCAGCATCAGCTAGTATTTTATTGGTTGATGCCGCTGGATTGGAGTTATGTTATTGGCTTTGCAGTCTTGGGATGGCAAATTTCTTCTGGTCTGTTTGCTTTGGGATTTACCTTAAAGCTGAAGGAAGAAAGCTAAGTAACACTCTCTCTAACACCCTCCTTTTAACTTGTTGGAACTTATTAGAAAATTTCAAATTTTGGTGAGTCTTACTTGGAAATCAGAAAAGATACTCATTATATGAAACATGAAACCCACGAAAATGTGATTTCTAATAAATTTTAACCAATAATAAAGATTGTTAAAGAGTGTCCGTAGCATTATTCTTGCCTAGAATTATGGAACTATAGTGACTATGCCTATAGTTTCGAAGAGGCAATTAGTGGGAATGAAAATTGGTATTGTTCTTTGCTTGGGAGGCTGTTCTAAGGGATAGGCTATCCGTGGTAGATGACTTTTCTGCTAACTGGTCTTGAGCAGCAGAGGAAGTGTTGATGCAAGGATTTTGCATGTCAGAATTGCTCCTGTGATTATCTTTTTTATTCTTTTCTTTCTGTTAACATCTATATGCGGTTTTTTTTTCTATTTTTATTTTTATTTTTTCTGTTCTCTAGTGTGTTCTGCTCGGTTGTGGAATTTTTGTAACTAAAGGGGTTTGGTAGTTAGATATTGTTCTCCAGCCAATATTAATTAGTAACTATATAATGTTTAGCCAGAGAAACACGATAAATGTGAAAAGTATATCGAAATATGTAGAGTATAAACATTTGATGTATTTGATTCTATAACTTTTGAATTGTATACATGTACAAATTGATGGAGGCAAAATTTTCCAATCCTCAGCAAATCCCTAAATGTTGGATGCACTGCAGGATTTGGAAAGAAAATTATGACTAGTATTTTCTATGGAGTCATTATGTTCAAAAGGCTGGCTCTCGTTTTAACCATGCGCCTGAATACGCTCTCCAATCCATTTTCTATGCTTTGAATGGCATTCTCCAATGCTTCCAATCTTTCATGTGCAGCCTGCATCTTTGCAACATTACTACCTTCACTTTGAAGGTGGCTTAAAGATGCTTCCACACACTGCAACTCATTGGAATTCTCTTGGTTCTCTTCGCATGATATCACTCCCTTGTGCATCAATTTTGCTACTAGTAACCATTTGGTCGCCTTTGACTTTGAAGCAGGCACGGCCAAGAAAGCTAGCAAGGATTGGAAGATAGACATGTTCATTACAATCACTTCCCTAAGCAAAACTGCTACGTGTGCAAGACAAAATCAAATATCTAACATTATATTATAATTTTCAAAGGTAACATGGTTGTGGAATGGCCTCGTCCTACTACAATGGCGGCGAAGGTAAATATAGATGAAAGTTCTCTTGGTAGTTTTGGAGCGGTTGGTTCTGGTGATATTCTTAAGGATAATCATGAAAATTGGATAATAAGATTTTTAGAAAGTTGTAATGTTTCTTTTAGTTAAAATGACAAATTTATTATCATTTATCATAGTTTGAATATAACTTAGAGTTCAGAATTTAGATCTTTAATTTATGAATCTGATCTTAAGATTGTTTTGAATTTGATTGACAAAAATGTCATTTTCATTTATCCTTGTGTTCCTGTCATACAGGAGATTAAGTCTCTCCATCAATGAAATTGGTCATTTAGCTGATATTATGAGAATTGAAACTTTTAAAAAATTCAATTAATTTTCTATTTGTTTGTTTTGTTTATATTATAATGCATTAAAAAAATACTAGATTAGCATTTTGTTTTTACAAAAACAATAGTACGACAAGGATCATATGAAATAATAAATAAATTTATTATTTGTGCCCAAATTTATTATGATACCTATTTGATACCATAAAAGTTAAGTATAACATTTATTTAATTTGTTATAATACCTATTTATACAATAAAAGTTAGTTTAACATTTGTGATCTTCATTTCATTTCTTTAAAATTAGTTTTTTTTTTATAATAGTTATAATGATACAAAATATTTACTAACTTTACATTAATATTTGTTTAAAATTTAAGGTTTAAAGTTTACTTAAATATATTTTAGTGAGACCCTATTTTTCAACCATGTTATTCACGCCCACATGTTAAAATTCAAGGATTAATATGATATCCTTTTTAAATTAAAAAATTAAAAAAATAAATAATAAAAAATAAGAAGTAATTGATTTTTTCCCTAAAAAATTAAAGAGTTATTAAAAAAATCATTAGAAATTCCTCCTTAAACGTCGGGTGATCTCACCGATAGCAGAGGTGAAAATCATTATACTAAGGCAACCGATATTCAATTTCCCACTTTTTCTGGCACGACACAGACGGCGATTAACCTGCACGCGCCGTCGTCGCAATGACCGAACCCCAAGACCCCTTCTCCTTCTCCTCCTACCCTCCCATCGACCCCATCAACTTCGATCTCATCGTCATCGGCACCGCCCTATCGGAATCCGTCATCGCCGCCGCCGCATCCGCCGTCGGCAAAACCGTCCTCCACCTCGACCCCAACTCCTTCTACGGCAGCCACTTCGCCTCTCTCTCCCTCCACGACCTCACTTCCTACCTCACTTCCCCCCACCACCCTCCCCGCGCCGCCTCCGGCGGCGACTCCGACTACTTCGGTGTCGACCTCGTCCACCAGCACCCGTGCTCCGACGTCGAAATCGCGTTTTGCGACGATGAATCCGAGTCATTTCTCCGCGAAAATTCGCGAAAATTCAACATCGATTTGGGAGGTCCGAGGGCGCTGTTCAGCGCGGACAAGGCGATCAATCTGTTGATGAAATCGGGTGCGTCGCAGTATATGGAGTTCAAGGGAATCGACGAGAGCTTCGTGTACGAGGCGAACGAGGGTTTGGCGAACGTCCCGGATTCTCGCGGAGCGATTTTCAGAGACAAGAAGCTTTCGCTGAAGGAGAAGAACCAGTTGATGAGGTTCTTCAAGCTCGTTCTGAAGCACTTGGACGATACTCAAGAGGAAAAAATTTCGGAGGAGGATCTGGAGATTCCGTTTGTTAGTTTCTTGGAGAAGATGAAGTTGCCGCCTAAGATAAAATCGTATTCACCATTTCTGTTTCCTAGTGAGATTTGATTTAAGTTTCCTTTCTGCGCATTATTATTAATCTTAATCATAGGGGATTCACTTGGCCTTTCATTGTTCCCGGTCTGATTCAGAACATTTTTACTTGTATTTTAATTTGTTGTTGAAAAAATGTAGACGTGTATATATGCCAAATGAAAGTCTTCTCTTGGAGATTCTAGTGAGATGGTCATACTAGTGTACATAAGTGTGACAATTTTTTCCTTAAAAGACAGTTTTGTAGGGTTTAGTTAGGTTCAATCCCACTTTCTTAAGATGATATTAAAGTCTATATCCTAGCAAGTGTGTTATGGCTATCGTGCCACCTGTTGTTGTGCCAGTATCGGGTTATCCGCAAATTGTCTATTCCTGTAAATTTCATGCTTGAGATGTTTGATACTCAACATGAGGCGATATGTTGGAATTCTCACATTGACTAGTGGTATAACAAAAATAAGGAATATAAGTAGGGAATTATCTTTACTTTATAAACTGATTTTGTAAGGATGAGTTAGACTTGAATCCATTTTTGGAACTTTCTTAAGATCTGGCAGTCAGCACTAGTTCTTTAGCATTTTAACAATTTTTAACAAAATCATAAGAAAATATTTTTCTTCCTTTTGTTTCTTTCTTTTCAATTAAATTTTTATTTTCTAGTTTTATATTTTAATATTATTGCCTGTACTTTTATGTTTCATTGTCATTTTTAGAATATTCTTTTTTACACTTTTGATATTTTTCCCCCAGTGTCTGAATTATATTAATTGTCTCTCCCCCTGAAGCTGTTGCTTTTTATGTTCTATGTAAGTGAAATCTGATAATTGGATAAAATAGTTGAAATTTTGAAATCTTTGGTAGTGCTCAGTTTGTTTGATGTGTGTGCTTAAACAGTCTGACAGGGGATTAGGTATACTTGTTTTGAATAAGTGAAGTTGATCATCATCTTTTGCAAGGGGGATAACTATTTCTTTCATATTTCATTGACACTGTTTGAATAAGGTGAATAAAGTGTGTCAACTAAAACCGTATATAATGCAAGCATAACCTGTTTACCAGTTAAGTATACTGAGGTAATGCCTTTTTGTTTTCCACAGGATTCTTTTGTATGCTATAGCCATGGTAGATTATGATCAAGACAATAATGAGGTTTGTAAAGATTTACTTAAAACAAAAGATGGAATAGATTGTTTAGCTCAGTACAGCTCATCTGTTGGAAGGTATTTTTTTTATTCTGATTGTTTCATGTATTGCACTTGCCTCTTTTTTTTTTAATTATTTAAGGAATCCTGTTTAATTTTTCTTTAAGAGATACTTGTAATCTTGTTTCACCCAGATTTCCCAATGCTCCTGGGGCTTTGCTATATCCTATTTATGGTGAAGGAGAATTACCACAAGCTTTTTGTCGTCGTGCTGCTGTCAAAGGTTGCATTTATGTAAGTTCAATGGATTTATGGTACTATTGGTGAGATAATCTAGTTACTGTAACGTCTTTAAAGTGTGCGTATTTTTGTTTAAAAACTTGTTTAATCCTTTCTATCAAAATAAGAACATTGTCTTATATGTTGAATCTATATATGAAATCTATCTCTTCCATTTTTACACTGTTACTTAAGTGCCATCATATTATATGTATGATGTTGTCATGTTTGGCATTTCATGGATGTTTCTTTCTGAATGCCAGGAGTGTAGTTGTGGTAAATGGGATGAATTCAAATTTTGCTAGACAAGGTAATAGAAGCCCCAAGATACTTTAGGTCTGATTGTATTATTGGAAATAGAAAACGGAGCTGATACAGCTCTTACAAACAAGGGAAAACAGTAAACCAGAGCATATAGCTCCTCCGATAGATATTCTCCTAGCCATCCAATACTGTTCTCTTATCCTCCCTCACTATCTTCTTAAATCCCATATTTTAACAATCCCCCTAATGCGGTATTCACTGTCACATCTCACATCACTAACTAATTCTCCCTTGGCCCCACTTTATTTCTTCTAGAATAAACTCTACAAAGTATGGGCTTCTTTGGGCTCAAGTCCAGCAACTGATCCAATTCCTGCCCTGCATCAATCTGTGCTCCACAGGTCCTATCACAAGGATACTTGATTATTTGTTATTCCATTTAGTGAAGCCACCATCTATGTGTTTTGTAGTCATTGTAACAGTATATTTCTTTTGGGTTAGGATGAAACTCAATTATCTTTGTTCTCTTGATGTTAATATTTGGATGGTTTATATTTTGTCAGCAATCTAAATGATATTGTTAACTATTTTCCAGCTTACATGTTTTTAAAAACATTTTTTTTATTGTTTTGTTGGCCATGTACACTTATTTACATCTTATACTTTTGTGATTCAGGTTCTAAGAATGCCAGTTATTTCTCTGCTTATGGAAAAGGTGCAGATATATATCTTTGATCTGTGTTTTCTGGTTCATTTTTGTGAAAAGATATAGCTTGAAGTCAAATGCAAAAGATTTTGTCATTTTGAAATCATCACTGCAGGTTACTGGGCTTTATAAAGGTGTTAGGTTAGCTTCAGGTCAAGATTTATATAGCAACCAACTAATCCTGGATCCATCCTTCACGGTTCCATCACTGCCATCTTTGTCTCGAAGAGATGTTCTCACTGAAAGGCTCCAAATGTTGAGTCAGAGAGATATTAAAGGAATGGTGGCCAGGGGAATATGCATCACAAAGAGTTCAATTAAACCAGATGTATCAAATTGCTCAGTGGTGTATCCTCCTCGATGTAAGAGATATTTAAACACTGCAAATGTAACTAGAGGCATATTAAACATTTGTAAGAAATTAACATTTTCTCTATTCTCTCTAGCTTTGTATCCTGAACAGGTGACATCAATCAAAGCTCTTCAGATAGGATCAAATCTTGCTGTTTGTCCTGCGGGAACGTAAGTTTATTTTTACTAAATAAATGCCAAAATGCTCATTTTTCCTTTAAACTTCTTTTCTCTGCTTCTCTAAGTCTTCTGTTTCTTCACTTTAGTTTTTTGTATCATTTTGTGTAGGTTGAAATTTGGTAAGCGTAAGCATTATGTAGTTGCTCAAATAGCTTATTTAGTAAAATATAATACCTCTGATTTATATATTTCATTATTTTTTTCATAGTCCAAAATATTTTACATTTTTTGGATCTTATTTTCACTTGATAAAAAAAAAGAGATTTTTTTTTTCTAGGGGTAACCAACAACACCCCCCCCCCC